ATCATTAGGTCAAGAAAATTATTTTATAAAAAATTATAAATAAGGGACCTTATAAAAGATCTTAAGCCACTCAAACCTAATCAATCCATAAATAAATAAACAAAAGATAAGAAAGCTGAAGTAATCATGCAATAGATTGAGAAAACATTTTTGTACAAATAGCCATGCACATAAAAAGAAACAAGATGGATTTAGTATATCGATAGTTCCATGATTTTTTTTAATAGGACCCTAAATTATTAAAAAAAAATTATAATTTAATTGCTAATACTTTTCAATTTTTATAATAAAGTTTGTGGAGTGTATTTGTTTCAAGGGTTAAAAAATCATTTATAAGAATGTGAGTTTGAAAATGTAAAATTATTACGTTTATTTTAAAATTTAAAAATATATTTTTGAATATTATTTATTCTCAAAAAAATAAGTATCCCATATTTTAAGTCATTTCAATGTCTATGATGAGAGATGAGAAAGTTATATTCTCATAAAAAATTGAGAAGTTATTATCAAACTTAATTATAACTTCATTTTAATTTTAATTTTTTTTTATTTTAAAATTTAAAACATTTCTAAAAATGTTTAAATTTAACCAATTTTTTTTTTAAATATTCCAAATAATAATATTTTTAGTTATATTATAACATGATTCATAAGAATATATACAGTATTTCATAAAGCAAACGTTCCATTAATGTTAATGGTTCATTTAGAAACGGTTTTGACAAAATATTCTTTATTATTTCTAACCCTAAAGACCTAATTATACAAATCGAAAAAGATAAAAACTTAATTACATAATTTATTGTGTAGACTTATTTAAAAAAAAAGTCCTAAAAGTTTAGGATCTATGGTTCAATAATTATATTATCCTTTGTTGGATCGAGTGCTTACCACTAGACCAAAAGCTATAACTTATAGTCAGGGCGCAACTCTTTTTACTTAAGAGCGCAGCAGTCCAAGCGCAATGATTCGACAGTGACTTGGTCACTAGGCCCACCTAGCCTCCGCCACGGGACAATTGATACATCCCGCAACATCCTTAAATAAAACTTAGTAATTTAATGACATACATGTTGTGTCCCTAGCTATCTCGAAACTTAAAAAATATATTGAGTCACTCTATATATAATAATGCATATATTAATAAATTAAAAAAGAAAATTAATTGTCATTCAAGAACGTAATTGTGATGTCAAAATTAGTCGCTTAGTCTGTTTGAACTTAATAAATTTAACCAAATGAGCCTATTTTATTTATTCTTTTGTATTAATTTATATATTTTATATATAAAAAATAGTTTAGTCAAATAAATTATACTATTTAATATGTTTGACTCTTTGAGTTGGGTCGAATTCATCATATTATTTTTGGGTCTCAAAACAAAGCTTGATTATCAAACAAATTTTAACAAATATAAATTTTCAAAAGAATATATATATATATA